CGTATTTTCTTGATAAAATATATTGAACGTGCAGGTAATGATAAAGATTGATTTAACTGATATCTTTCCAAATTAAGGAAGTAAATCGGCTTATCTTTAATCAAACGACGGAAGTGAGAAGACTCATAAAAAAATGTTAATGGCGCTGTGAATAATTAATAATTATGAAAACATCGATGATCATAATGGTGATAATAATAACGATGACAATGCAATTACAAATCACAATAGTAATGGCGATTATGATAAAGATAATGATGATAATGACAATAATGATAAGGCTAATAACGATTATAGTTTTAATTATAACCGACGATGAAAATAATAAGCTAATAGCAACAACCACATTAGCATAATCAATCTTACTAATATTATAAGTAATCATTAATGTCACATATATCATCCTCTTGATAATAATGACGATGGTGAAGATAATGAATATGGATATTGATGAGAATGATGAAAATAGTGATGATGATGATGATGAAGATAATGATAAAAAAGATAACGATGATAATGATAATGATGATGGTGATGATAATGGTAATGATAATGAAAATGTTGGTGATAATGATAATGATAATACAGATAATAATAGTAATAAATGTAACGATAACAGTAATGATAATAATAAGTGATAATTGTAGTAGTAACAGTGATGATGATAATAATAATTACAATAATAATAATGATAATAATACTGATAACAGCAAAAATGATAATAAAATGATAATGATCATAATAACTGGGAAAATGATGATGAACTATTAATGATGGATATAAATGATAGTGATAATGATGATGATAATGATAATGGCAGTGACGATGATGATAACGACAACAATAATGATAATAATGGCAATAATGATGATAATAACTATGATAATGATACTAATGATATAAATAATGTAATAGAAATATATAATAACTGCAGTATAATAATAATAACAATGATAATAAATATACTGCCGATGAAAATGATAATAACAAAAATTATAACAATGATAACAATAATAATGATGATGATAGTAATAGTAATAATAATAATAATAAAGAAGCAATAATAATGATGAAAAAATAATAGTAATAATGATTATAATATTCAAAATAATAATGATATTGTTAATAATGATAGTAATAACAATAAAAATAATAATAATATAAATAACAAAGTAATGTAAATGAAAATCTATCTTTTAACGTTTATTTCATCATTGCCCAACGAAGGCCAATTCAGGCAAGACGATTGATAGATAACGAAAAAGAGAAAGAAGAAATAGAGAAAGAGAGAGTGAGCAAGACACAAAATAGAGAGAGAGAGAGAGAGAGAAGAGAGAGAGAGAGAGAGAGAGAGAGAGAGAGAGAGAGAGAGAGAGAGAGAGAGAGAGAGAGAGAGAGAGAGAGAGAGAGAGGCATAGAGAGTGATAGATATATAAATAGATAGATAGATAGATAAGAAAGAGGAAAGAGAAGAGAAAGAGAGAGAGAGAGAAGAGAGAGAGAGAGAGAGAGAGAGAGAGAGAGAGAGAGAGAGAGAGAGAGAGAGAGAGAGAGAGAGAGAGATAGAATATATATAGAGAGAGAGAGCGAGAGAATCAGAGACAGACAGACAGAAACAAACAGACAGACAGACACAAAGACCCCGAGGGCAAACGCGGCAGATTGAAGATACACAGCCAGCCTGTTTACGTCAGAACTTGGAAACAGACCAACGCATTACCCCGCACCAGGAAGGAGTCGTCGCGAGGAGAGAGACCCCAAGGCAGGCATTCAACGACGTCTGCTTCTTACTTGACCTCGGAAGACTCGGAGACACACGGGACTTTATGACCTTGTTCCTGGGTCGTGGAGGATGCGCAGTCCCGGGTCGTCGTTGTTCATTCGTCTGAGTCGTTGCTTCGCGGGTGTTGGGGGGGGGGGGGGCGGGGCTGCCGTTGTTCGTTGTTATCGTTAACGTTATTGGTTGTTCTTATTATTGTAATTACTATTGCTATTGTTATTATTAGTACCATTATCGTTATTGCTATTGTTAGTGTTATCATTATTATTATTATTATAATTATTATTATTATTATTATTATTATCATATTATTATATAATCATTATCGTTATTATTATACCTATTATTAGCATTAATATATTTAATATTATCATTTTCATTTTTATTATCAATATTATTATTAGTATCATCATCAATGTCATTGTCATTTTATCATCATTATCATTGTTATCACCATCACTGTTGCGATAATTGTCATCATTATTAAGATGTATGCTACCCAAAGACATGTCATACGTGTCTATGCAGTAAGCATGCCGCCTTGCTCATCTGTCTCTCTGCTTTTGTCACGAATTTTCATTTGTTTGTGTAATAGTGTCACTTAATATATACATTTCTGTCAGCCATAGTCCTCTGCCATAAAAATAACTTTTTATTTCTAGTCGAAATATATACGTGTTTCAGGTATGGTTCTTTTTTCTGAGCTGCGACGTGTCTCTT